TGTACAAGTTGAATTAAATTTGTTAAGTTTTTGTTTGTTTATTATACTTTGAGTTATATAAGTTTGTACTTTATAAATAAAATTGAAGATTTCTTTTTATTAAAGCCTTTGTTTGGTTTTGAAAATAGATTTTTTTATAATCTTCACATGACAGATTTTTCATGAAAATTTTCTGGCTGCACTGCTCATAAGTGTTATCACCACACACACTCTGCACGTTTTGGTTAATGGTAAGGACACCACATTATTCGAACACAATATTAATCTTTAAACACATAGACGACTGCACGACAGCGAAATTGTGCGACGACGACAACGAACACATTATTAATCTTTAAACACATAGACGACTGCACGACAGCGAAATTGTGTTGTAGGCAAATGTCGTTTTGAAGCCAGCTTCTTGAATATTTTGAAGACGGCAGCGTTACATAAAACACATGATTAATAATCGGTTGTACGGGAGAAATGTGATATAGTTGTTTGATTTGGCCGACTCCGACAAATTATCAATAGTATATCACTACCTATGCACCTATGTATTAAAGTTCATTCGGATTTTGCCTAAAAGGCAAACTTCGCCTTAAAAATTGCTGTATTGAAACAGGTTTTAGACCCGTAGCCTCTTAGGCAAAGTTGTTTAGAATGATCCGTAAAACATTTCCCGCATACGCGATTTGATTGACCCGCTCTAGTGTACATGTAATCAAAAATATATTTTATGAATTAACACTCTATTTTTACCATCACAGCAGTATGTTAGGAATGTTATGGAACAATTTAAGAGTAAATTTTCATATTTTACTTGTTCACGTATTTTCATTTCATTACAGCAGCAGCAATTACAAAGCGTCATTAAGCAATTAGCTTTAAGTAAACAAATAAGGGAAACATATGACTAGGACAGAGTAAAATTTAAGTATAAAATATTTAAACTAATTTATTATACATAGTACACTAGGTAGAAAAAGTCTCCGCTCACCAATTCGCGGAATGTGTTTCAATAAAAATATTAATAAAATATATGCGTTTTTGACGTTCTTTTCAGAATATCAGATGCGCATGCTAATAGCATTACAGTCGCCAAATTTCATGAAATTTCTATGTGCGTTTGCAAAGTTAACGAAATTTTTTGAATTCTACTAATGGAGAATAAGCAGAAAAAGTATCCGCTCACTGCTTATTACATTAGTTGATTGTAGTTTCTACGCGTTTAAGACCTGATCATTTTTTGTGCGTTGTTGTCAATAATACAGATTTAGATAATCGAAGGAAAAATCTGCAATTTGTGAGTAAATTTTTCGAATTATTCAACTTTAATCGAAATGAGTGCAAAAGGCAAAGAAATAAGTGTTGATGAGTGGAAAATAATATTAAAATAAGAGAGGACGGTAAAAGCTTTCGTGAAATTGGACGAGTTGTCAACAGAACAGTGCTGACAAATTAGGATTGCCAAACGTGTTTTGTTTCCAACAGGACAATGACCCTAAGCATACAGCGGAACTTGTTCGCCTTTGGCTTCTTTACAATGATACAAAACAGCTACATTCACCTCCAAAAGAACCATACGCAAAAAGAAAATCACTTGATCAAAAGTTATGAGTGTTTTTCTTTTACACTTTGGATAAAGTTTCCGAAAAATCAGAAAAAAAAATTTGTAATCTAATTTAAATCCAAAGTTTTTAATTATTAAATTCACAACTCTGGTTTCTATTAAAGGCAACAAAAATACAAACTTGATTAACACAAATGGGTACGAGTGCTTTAGAAGCAACCCACAACTTTACTCCAAACTGTCCTGCATGTTCGGAGGAAATTGAGGATATTTTAGTACTCTCGTTTACAGCACGCATTCTCTTCTACATATTTGGGAAAATGTCGCGAAATGACACTGGATTCAATGATAAGGGCTTTATTATAATTTTTATCAATCCCTTAAAATGTGGCTATATATGAGCTTAAAAAAGTTAAGTCCTGATATAACTTTTTTCACAATATCTTTCTATTATACCGAATAGATCACTGTACCCATGTTTCCAATTTAAACAACTCACGAGAATGAGAAGTATATATGTATATATTGGTTTTCATATACATACAAAGGGTTTTTTTCGAGTTATAGAACTTTAAGTTGGCATTACTGTTCAAGATGGCGACCGATTTAACAGCTGTCAAGTGATTTATTCTCAGTTTGGTTTGGCAATTCATCATGAATAGACTCACGTTTGAACAACACTTGCAAATAGTGCAATATTATTTCGAAAATAATGGTTCTGTGCGGTATACGTATCGCGCACTACGTTCATTTTATCGTATGATGCGATGAAACGCACTTCTAGTTGAATGGCTACGTCAACAAACAAAACTGCCACTTTTGGAGTGAAGCTAATCCTCAAGTGTATGTCGAAACACCGTTACATCCAGGAAAACAGACTGTTTGGTGCGCTTTATGAGCTGGTGGAATCATTGGTCCGTACTTCTTCAAAAACGATGATGTCCAGAACGTTACAGTCAATAGTGATCGGTATAGAGCCATGATTACTAACTTTTTCATTCCTGCTCGTGCCACAATCGATTTATTGAAAGACACGTTTGGTGACCGCCTAATTTCACGTTTTGGACCTGTGAATTGGCCTCCAAGATCTTGTGATTTAACACCGCTAGACTACTTTCTGTGGGGTTATGTAAAGCCATTGGTCTATGCGCATAAGCCACAAACGCTTAACCATTTGGAAGACAACATTTGCCGTGTTATTGCCAATATACCAGAGAACGTATATCATAGAGAAGGTCAATTGCTGACCAGCGTGTGAATTGTCAAAACCTAACAAGATTTTATTAGTGAATTTCACCAAATCTGGCTCGAAGGAGAAATTTTAACAGTGAAGAGTGAACAGAGCTGAGAATTCAATGAAAATTATTCTCAGAGACTTGCTTTGATATTACAGCAGCATGTTAGCCTTTTGGCTTATATTCTTATACGTTTATATGCAATCATATTTATTGATATGAATATCATTTTGCGAATTTTTATGAATGCATGCAAAACTGATAAGATCTATGAAATTATGGAATTCGAAATAATATTTATAAATTTGGGCATTTAATAATTTTATTTAGTTTTACCTAATATACATTCATACTAAATAGTTATATTATAATAATAGAGATTAAATTTATTAAATATATGTATGTATATACATCTTTATCATATTAATCTTATATAGTCATATGTATGTACGTATGTATTTGAATGTACGCATTCAGAAATTCAAATCATGATTTTAATTTATCAATACACTATATGTGTGCGCATTGATTTATATGACACGCATAAATGTATTTATACATAAAATTGCCGAACAAATAATGATACACAACCCGCAAAACTACAAACATTGTTCTACAAAACAACAATCGTCAGTTTATTAGTAAAATATTCAACAACAACATTTTCATTCATGAACGAGTACTTTAACAAGCAACCTCGCTTCATCTATAAAACAGATACCCTCACATATCCCCGAGCATGCTTTTGTCTCAAGCGTCTTTTCACGACGATGGCAAAAGCTAAAAAATTGAACAAATTTCTGATATTCCTCTGGAAGGGAAAGTTGAACCACGCACGCCCACAAAACACAGAAAAATTGACAAACTGGCAACAAGCTTTGTCGATTTAAATATTTTACAATTTAAATTTACAATTTTAAAATATTTTTCCGTGTCTCATAAAATCTGCGTCAATATGTATGCATGCTCATATATAAACATACATATTTAGATGATGTGGGCAAAGCTGTTAGAGCGGCAAGGAAGCGGTGACAATCGGCGGCCGTTCGTTAATATTTTCGGCACAGCTCGGATTTTCTACCAACAACATGTTGTGACGCTTGTCGTCGCGTCAGTCCTTCACAGTGACTCTTTGACAAGAAAACAAAAACGTGAGCTCGGCCATTGGTTGTCCGTGGAACGGAGATTTCATGAAATAATGAATGTACATTTACACACATACGTTGCATAGACAAATTAACAATTATAATGGCATTTATATTTGTTTACATGCACACATAATTATACATATACTTACATATATATGTATAAGAATATTTGCGACCGCTTGGTCTTTTCTTATGGGGTTATGTCAAGCAAGAGGAGTACAAAATCAAACCCAGAAATCTGACTGAACTGAAGCAGTCCATTAAATAGATATTTGAGGCAATCCCGACTTGAACCCTCCAGCCCGCATTAATTTGCTAATTAGGTGTCGCATATGCGTGGCCAAGCATGGAGGAATAATTAATTGTATAAAATAAAATTAAAATTTTCTATACAATACAACAAAAATTGATAAAAAAGAAACTTAATACGGTTAATTTTTGTAGCACGATTCGTGAGCCGCCCTGTATATGCAGAATATCTTAAAATTATATGCAAAGTCGTTTGCGCATTGTAAATATACGAATTTGTAAGCGTACATTTCTTAACTTGAATTTAGCATTATTTTTCTCATTTAACATTCAAAATGCTCAATTCTGCTATTTGCGCTCCGCAGGGGTAAAATTCTGGTGAAATCAGCTTATAATTTGTTTGTGGTGAAATGCACTAATGTTGGCGAGTAACCCTCCGTCAAGAGGAACATTTTGACAATCGGCACACCATGAACCTTCTCTATGATATACGTTCTCTGAATATACGGCCACAACTGCTGGAAAAAGTCATCGAAAATTGGACGTACAGATTGGACTACACCCGAGCCAGTCGTGGTGGTCATATGCCAGAAGTCATATTTAAAATGTAATGCTACAAGATTATATTTCGGATAAATAAAATCCATGTCAATCGAATAATCCCTCGTTGTTTTATTGCAATTTAAAGTCCTATACCTAAACTACTCCAAAAAAACCCTTTATAATTGAATTTGGGAATTGCATCAAACACGTTTAAGCATGGGCAGGTACGAATGGCATTTGTAATCCATGGAATAAAATTGAAATTGTTACTAATGTTTTACATTTCATTTAATTCACCTGTTTTGTATGAGTTCATAAAGTATGATGGCAAAGCAAATTTGTTAATTGGTTCAATTAAGCCCACCAAGCCCTCCATTTCCAAAATGTCTGCGGAATATTTTAAATTGTTTTTGTAGGTAACCAAATGTTCGTTTAATTCTCCTTCAATAAGTCCTGCCATTATATGAATCCTAAAAATATATAGATATATATAAATCTATGTGTTAATAAATAATTATGACATGATTTTTAATCCGATTGAAAGGCATTGAGATCTTAAACAAGGAAATATACAATATAATCACGCCAATGTTTACTTCGGTAATTCGAAGATTAATTATTATGATATCTAATCTATTTACGTAATAATACAATAATATCCGATTTTACTACTTACTAATATATTACTTGCTATTGCTTTATTAGCCTTAGCGCAAACTAAATGCTTATGCAGGGTTTTTCAGTATTAATTTGTATTCAATATTGTTTTAATAAAATATACGGTATTTCTAAACCGTTGAGATGTTTTCGAGTTTCTTATGAATCATAACGTTAACCGCATAATATTCAAAACAAATAAAAACAAGTAAGGAACTGCTAAGTTCGGATGTAACCGAACATTTATACTCTCGCAAAGCAAATGGTATACTCGTTTGAGATTTCTATGTGGATTGACCGATATATTCGGTAGAAGGTTAACTATAGGCACTGGGGTCCACATATTCAGTACCTAGGGGCTTGAACAGTTTTGGTTCGATTTAGACAATTTTGGGTCACAAGATGGCATACTTTAAACGTATTATTCACGTAAAGTTTTACCCCGATATAATCATTGTTGCTTAATATGCATAGTGGAAAGTGAAAGAATCAAATAGAATTGAAAATGGTGTTATATGGGAAATAGGCGTGGTTGTAGTCCGATTTCGCCCATTTTCGTACTATGACATAGAAACATGAAAAGAACGTTATGCACCGAATTTGGTTGAAATCGGTTGAGCAGATCTTAAGATATGGGTTTTCACCTAAAAGTGGGCTGTGCCACGCCCACTGACTAATTTTGAAAGCGGTTCCTATAAAGCCAATTTATACCATCTCAGAGATAAAATGTAATGTCTCTGGCGTGTTTAGTGCTTGATTTATCGCGCTTTTAGTAGTTTTTAACAGTACCGTTATATGGGGAGTGGGCGGAGTTGCCACCCGATTTCTGTTTTCACACCGTCAATAGAAGTGCTAAAAACATTTGCTTCTAGTGAATTTTGTTATTATGGCATTAGCGGTTTAGGAGATATGCACAATAAACCTATTAGACGCGGGAACACGCCCACTTTAAAAAAAAAAGTTTTAACTGCAGATGCCCCTCCCTAATGTGATCCTGTGTACCAAATAACAGTATTGTATCTTATTGCGGAGCTTAGTTATGGCAATTTATTTGTTTTTGATTTCTGACGTTTTGTGGGCGTGGCAGTGGTCCGATTACGCCCATCTTCAATACCAACCGTCTCACGGTACCAAGAAACATGTCTACCAAGTTTCATAAAGATATCTCAATTTTTACTCAAGTTAGAGCTTGCACGGACGGACGGACGGACAGACAGTCACCCGGATTTCAACTCGTCTCTTCGTCCTGATCATTTATATATATATAACCATATATATAACTCGATTAGTTTTAGGTGATACAAACAACCGTTAGGTGAACAAAAGTATTATACTCTGTACCAACAGGTTGCGAGAGTATAAAAATTTACATTACTAATCTTTACTGAGAAAGCTTTAATAAAATTCAGGATTCGTATTTGCGCAGTGGTTAGGGTGTATCCACTAGTGATCAACGGCACGGTTGCGTTGAGCGTTTAACGCTACTAGTAATAGGCGGAGAAAGGTAGAGAGAGCTACGCATCAAATTTTGACGGCTTAGCGAGTGAAGCATCACATGGTTTTCAATGCGAGTTTTTTAAATGCTGATTTTTGTAATAAATTCAGTTTTAGAGTCAGTTTGTTAATTTTAAATCTAAATTAGATATTCCATACGAAATATTTCGGAGTATAATAACAGTGTGTGGTGATTTTGTGATTTGAATATAATTAAACTAAGTGAAAAGAAGTGTTTGTTAATCACGGTAAGTTCACAGCTTAATTTCGATTTTTGGTAACTATTGGTTGAAAATTATTCAGAGCTATTTCATTTCACCTCAATTATGCAACGGTTAACCTTTGATAATCAAAAAGATTACAAAAAATATTATTGTAGCACCTATTTTGACTGGAAAATTTAATGGAGAAATGGCCATTTCTTTTGCCACGTTTTCCAATGATACTGTCAGAACGCACGATACAAATTGAGCTTAATTAATTGAATATAAAAATGTTTATAATTAAAACTATAAATATCATTGTTAAAAATTAAGAACGATCAACCTCTTTCATTATTTCAAACGTTATCTACTAACAACTTTGAAAATTACTCATTTGTTTCATAGTTGAATATAAAATTAATGAAATAAAATAATCAACATATTATATTTTTTGTTTATTTGTGTTTAATAACAAATCGAAGGAAATTAGTATTAATCATTTTCAACTTTGGAAGTGATCCGCTTGGTTATTCTTAGATTGGAATTAATGTTTTCGTTTTATTTCATAAATACAATTTTCTGTATTGAATAGTATGTAATTAACCTTAGCAACGCGTGGACGGGGTCCTCTAGTATATGTATATATCTCCATATCTATCACAATTAGATTGATGTGTTTCAAACCGTTAGGTGAACAAAACTATCTGTAACAACATATTGGGAATAACTGCTTCCAAACATATTCTACACAGGCACAGTTTTGGAAACGGTAATACCACAAAAAAGTTGTTGTTCGACAGTACTCCCACTGATTTCTTTGCGGATAGGGATTGTACGATATGATAGGTAGAAAAGGAATAAGTATGAGTATGTGTCTTCTATTATCCGTCAATAAGATACAAAATAGATATATTGTTGATGGTAGGTGAAGTACCTTAATGAAACTCAGAGATAATCTGTTTCTCCGTTCCCACGAGTGTCGGATTTATGTAACCGGAACGGACTCGGATTCTTAGCCAAGGATTGTCAACTCGGCAGAGTTCTGCTGCTACAATAATAACAACAACAACATCTGTTTCTGTTAATTATATGTGGTAATGCTAACAGTAGCTAGACCTATCTCTCATATACCATAATCTTTCGGTTGGCCGTACGCCTTATACCGTATTTATCGGTCTATATGTAAGATATATTTGTACACTGAAAGTATAATATAATATTAGATATACTTTAGTTTAATGCCGAAAATATTATATTGTACCACATGCAATAATTTCCGTTATTCTAACAAACCTTACTACATATATTATTAGTTTAGCGCTGAACATGAATGTAGTTGGTCTAGACCTTGGTCTAAATCTCATAGTCCTAATATCATCAATTTCGATCTTCTGGTTGACGTTTTGCACATCAACTCAACATATTAAATTTAGCCTTTTGTTAAAGTTTATGTCAGAAATAATTCATTTGAGGATGATTAAATATAATATTCGTTGACGGAAAGTAAAATATAGTTATACAACTAACTGAGTCTGTGACATGTAATATAACTTAATAAAATACCAAATTCTATTGTAATGAATGTTGCATTCTTTCGCAACATTTATTAATTTGACGTTTTGCTAAGACCTGAAGGTATTCCCCGACTTTGATCCCTACAAGTTGCAAGAGTATGAAATATTCGGTTGCATCCGAACTTAGCCCTTCCTTAATTGTTTAATATATAGTTTTGCCAACACCTATAATTATTCCGCCGGCTGTTATCCTTGCAAGTTGCAAGAGTGTAAAATGTTCGGTTACATCCGAACATGGAAGGGCTATGTTATTATACTTGTTATTTATGACTAATAACTCTATGAGACTATATGAGTCCCCTATATGCGTAAAAGAGAAACGAATGATAGAATACAAATTTACGTCAACATCAAATCCGTTTAATTGAGCTAAGCCTCATTAAATAACCACACCACTCTACTCGGGAGAAACTGGCGCACCCTAATAATAACCACCACATATTCACCAATACACCACACCATATGACACCACACAGGACGATACAAAACACCACAGCACCGCGCGTGTACATCACCAGCTAACAAAAGGGATGGTCCGCGCAGCTTTTTCACCTCATTCGAAAAAATAACGATTCTGCGCGCAACTCTTTTCTTTCGTTTCGACCACCATCTGAGTTAGCTCTGATCGACATCGCTCCGCAAGCGTTTGTCTTTTTTAATTCGCCGAATAAGAATCCGGTCATTGGCGTAATTGAATTGTCATATCGCTTCGCTTACCATTGGACCCGTTTATCCGCAATAATTTTAATTTTAACTTTAATAACTTCTTATAAAATTAAAGTATCATTTTAATTCGTATCCGAAATTAATTGCATTTTCACTGACATACATTTTTATAACATTAACCGCGGGTGTTAGTGCTACCTTAAAACTTAACAGTGAAACGCGCTTACCTATTTGTACATGGTCCTTTGAGCCTCACAGAAAGGCACTGTGGGTTATTAACATACAAATAAAAAAATATATAGAATATATAAATAACAAATAATCAGTGAGAAGAAGTGCGGTTACATATAATATTAGATATACTTTATACTTTTTTATAACAAGTAAGGAAGGGTTAAGTTCGGATGTAACCGAACATTTTATACTCTCGCAAAGTTAGATGGTTCGCGCCCTCTCTCTATTGCGAAAGAATATAAACACAATCCATACAAATATACGGCATAACATTTGCGTATCTCTTCTTACCCTACACCCGGGTATTATTAAATTATTAATACTTTAATACCTATAGTAAATAAGTAATCTTTAAATTCGCCACTAATTAAACGGCGGCAAAGTCACTAAATTAAATTTGTTCAAACAAAAAAAATCGGTTTAACAAAAATAATTCATTTGAGCAATATTCATACATATTTCTTCATATACAGTTGTATATTACATTCTCAAAGTTCGCATTGGCAAATACTCCTTTTTCTTTGGCAAAAAAAACAAGCAGGATTGCATACAAAATAAAAAGCGTACATTCAAAATAAAACCTCAACAAAATCATTTCGCAAGTAAATACAATGGTTACACGAACAAAATTATGATTCATTGAAAATGGTCAGTATGTCATCTTTGACTACCACTAAAACAACAATTTCCCAACACAATCCTTGTAGATCACTCTCGCACCTCTACCAGTACGAAAGCGGTTTCAAGTATGGAAAAACCTGCTTAAAAGGCGGACTCAAACGGAATGTATTAGTTGTTGGAAGGAGCTTTCCATTTGGACCACGCTGGATATTGTGCGAGAAATCATCGAGACAGTACTACTCATTTGCGCCACATCATTGCGGTAATCAAAACCAAACAAAACAATTAAAGTAAGAGTTGTCTTCAATGCTTCAAGAATCCACTAACTCGCGGAACTCCCTAAATGATATCTATTTACTGGACCCACACTCCAACCAGATTGGTGCTACTAATTTTAAATTTTGCGTTTATTCAAGTAAACCAGTCCCGCTTGAAGACGTCGAAAGATGAACAGAATAAATAGTCGTACATAACGACGATTAAGATTCTCAGCGATTTATTTTCCGAAAATCCCAATAGTCCCCTACGCAACTATAAATTGAAAACCGTTGCTGGCGTCAACTGTGCTCCATATCTAGCCGTTCGAACACTGCACGAATTGGCAGAAAACACCAAGTCGATTCCTCTGGCAACTCAGATGTTTAAAACACAAACGTATGTAGATATCCTGTCTGAAGTCTGATCTTCCACAAGCGTTCAGTACTATCACAAGTGGGTCAAGCCCTCAAACGTTGTTTCCGTTGAATGGCTGACAGACCACCTAATATTTTCAAAAATATGCCAAATTAAATTTATTGAATGCTAATTTCCTTAAATTCAATTAGGAAAGTGCAGCAAAACTCTGGTGATTCAGTAGATGGAGTAGCGACCGGTTTTCATGCATTGCAGGTCAATATCGACATCACCATATCAAGGCGCCCGTTTTTGTGATTGTGACGAAACAGGCGAAAATCGAAAATGCAAATTATGGCTGGGCAAAACTAACTGGGACGAACAAGCGAAACATATTCGCTTAGAAACCAGTCCCAGAGTTTGCACCTAATTAACAACAATTTCGCAGATATAAATACCACGTTGAGCGAACTATTCCTCATACCAGATTCAAAACCAAACTGCTTCGGCGACACTCAGAAAATCATACTGCGCACCAATTCGAATTGAGCTATGTGGTAGTGCCGGAATAAGTATCCACAGTGCACATATCGATATTCCGATTACCCGAAGTAATTCTAGCCTGATTGAAAATAATAAATAATTCTAGCCTCTATTGCGAAAAGAATACAAATATACGGCATAACATTTTCGTTTCTCTTCTTACCCTACACGCAGGTATTATTAAATTATTAATACTTTAATACAGTAAATAAGAAATATTAAATTACCCACTAATTAAACGGCAAAGTGACTAAAGTGCAATTTGTTCAAACAAAAATCAGTTTAACAAAAATAATTCATTTGAACAATATTCATACATATTTCTTCATTACAGTTGCATTACATTTCAAAGTCATTGGCAGTTATCCAGCAATACTCCTTTTCTTTGGCAAAGAAAACAAACGGGATTGCATACAAAATAAAAACGTGCATTCAAAATAAAACCTCAACAAATCATATCGCAAGTAAATACGGTTTACACGAACAAAAATTATGATTCATTGAAACTTCAAATAAAACAGGAATAATGAATGATATTAAAAATCACAATACCTGCAGACTACACGCTCAAAACACGTGGCTAAATTTATTTTAGAAACGACAGGTTAATAGATATTGCACTAGATTTTCATCTTGACAGATTTAAAGACTGCTCTGAATCGGTACTAAGATATCAAAATTAATCTCCTTAATTTTGGACACGTAAGCAGCTCATGACACCATAAACAAAACAGAGGCCATCAAATCTACACAAATTTAAATTCGCCTTTCGTCAGTATGATTTGCTTAGACCAGTATGAAGCTACAAGCTATGATCTCCTAATAAAGGCTATTGGTAATGAAAAATACCCAACGGCAACAAATGAAAAGGTACAGTACCCAATACGAAATCATAGAAGGATGTAAAAACAGTTGGAGCGAAAACCGTTCAGCAAGACTTAAATCAGAAGCTTCAATGGTTATAAAACCAGCAGCAACCACAACTTCCGTACGAGAACTATGTGCAGAAGGTATATGTCAAAATCTTGCAATTCAGATTTAATATTATCGACCGAAAATTTGTAGAACAAAGACTTGAGCAAATTCCTTGTCATGCGTCATGGCGACATAATTCTATGCGTTGACCATAACAACTTTTCAATACCCCAAACAGCGCAAATATAAACAAGTCACGGGTTATTTGCAACAACATTCCAAGTGTTCTGTAAATCCCGAAAATTGCCAAGAAGCACCATGCTGATCAAAGCATTAATAACTCAAACACTGGCGAAAACCAAGTAGGGTGCTACAGTACTACCCACAACGGTCTTCTCCATCGAACACCGGGAGGATATTTAAACTTAGAGCCGTAATAAGACCAAGGATCACAACGTCTTTCATGGCGCTTGGGGCGCAAATAGATACAACTGCCAGCAAAACAAACCAACTTTGAAATAGAGGTGATAGAGTGGTTCAAAACTCTAATAAAATCTGCTTGTACCTGAACACCACCAGGCAGTTGGGAAGGATAAAGCAGAAATATATTCTTTACCGCAGCTAACAAATATGCTTCCAATTATCATATAAAAATAAGCAGCCAGGAAAATTTCCACACCTCAAATAAAGCAGATCCCAACTACAACACCTTGCTCAAACAGGCATTCTATTAGGCAGCAATCTCATACCTCGTTAATACTCAAAGGTGTTGAAGAATTTTAAACACACTATTGGCACAAAAATACTATTTCAGTTTGGATCCTGGTGGACTAGTTGGAACAAGTTACCACCACGTATGGTTGAGAAATCTGAAACAGTACCTCAATTCTGAGTGAAAAATTTGGAATGAAAAACTCCGGCCCCATTTTCATTTACAACCCAAAGATCAAACATGATAACTGCTCAGCTTCCCAACTATGAATCAAGATCATTTCAGTATGTCATGCACAGCTACCACTAAACTCTTTCAATTTAACACAATCTATCAGGTCATGCCTCTGCAGCCAGCGGTTCAAGTATGGAAAACCTGCTCTTTTGGTGCATAAACCGTTGCGTGACAACCATCGTACATGTTATTGCGGTTGATTTTACCTGCCACAATTCATATGGCGTCTTGTAGTCCAAAGCTTTGTTGATTTGTTATGCCAATACGCTGTTGAGACCGCTGGCCAAATATTTTCACAGCAATCTGGAATTCCGCAAAATTAAACATCACTCTACTCTACTAATAATGCAATTACGCTACCATACCGTTTGCTGGTGTATATGATTACTGTTGATACTGAATACAATTACAAAAACAATTAAATCATTATTACATATTCTTTTCTATTATCTGTGCGTAACGTCTTTATTTTCTATTGGTTTCATTTTATATAAATTCTTAAATTCACCAAACTTATCTAAGTTTCGAACATCTCTTCATAAATAGACAGATACTTTTCTATAATCATCAATGAACGTAACATAATATCACGCACCTCCAAACGAACCCCGTATCATCGTGCCATAAATCTGGTGAATTAGCAGTGAACAATTCTGACCTAGTACCAATATTTTAAATGGTTGTCTGCCGCCATTTTCCTCTAAGCAATTGTACAGGGCCCGATTACCTTTTTGATAATTCAACCCGTCACCCTTTATCGTTACCTTCTGTTGGTCTGTGAAGTGAAGATGGCCCATTCTTAGATACTGCCAATTTCTCTAACTCATCTGCTGTTGATAACAATGCGGTGCTGAAACGTATTCAACAACATGTTTTGCGATGCAATGCTGTCAATATTAACCCTGTGTTTGGTATATTTGACAACTATCTCTCTCAGAACAAAGCTACAGCCTTTATTTGCCATTTGACTTACAGAAAGTGCTGTCAGCTCAGGAATCTGATACCAGCAACTCCATCAAGCCACGACAGCTGGAAAAGCAGCATGTATTATTTGGTGTCATTGTTTGACAGAACCTTCTTTTGCCTTTAAAGCAATCCTCATGTGACCATTACATTGCATACCAAGCACCGTGACCCCTTTGGTTTGCTTTCCTCTGAAATTGGTTATTCGAGTTTTGATTTGACATATTTTGTTTTACTGAGCAATCGACGGAATATATTATATTGTCAAAATAAAACGACAATAATAGATTACAGGTAAGGTTACTTAACAGTAAGGTACAAAATATTAACTATAAGGAATGGCGTTCGGTATTTGCAATTAATCATTTCAACAAACATTCCACAGAGCTGGACCCAAAACTGGTAAATATATGCACCACCGCTTTACCAAGAAAATCGTTACTTT